TAAATTTAATAGGTGGGGTATACCCCACTATCATTTTTAATAGTGTTCCGAACCTCATGCGATTCTGTTCGATTCTACTTGATTCCAATTTTCGGAACCATAATTCCATGTGAACAAATGGAAAACAGGGAAGTACCCTGGGGCTTATATTTTTCCACTAGTAAAGGGTCTCAAAAATAGATAACCTGTAACCAGCTTAGACTTTGCATCATTGTATTCAAGCCTTATTATGACATATAATCTCTCATTTGATAAAATCATTTTATCTCGAGAGCATGCCGAATCTCTAAAAGAAACTGATAAAAAGCTTCATGAGATTAATTTCAAATTCAATGGTCATGATGTTCTTGCATGGTTCATCAAGCATGAAAACCAAGTCAAAATTAAAGGCCTTTATCCAAAAGTATTAAAGAAGTTGCTTATTAGATGTAATTCACTAAAAAGCTGTCTTGATCCATTGAAGGATAAAAAAGAAGAATTAGAAAAGGAGATTAATTTGGCGGAGGCAAGGGTGGAGACAATACAGATGCTTTAAAATCTGAATACTCTTTAGTTTGCTTTAATGTTACCTGTCTAGATACGAAACAACTTGCTTTAAAAGTATATATGAATACGTTTTATGGTGAAGCCAGGAATAGTGGGTCTCCTTTCTTCTTGCGAGCATTAGCAGGCGGAGTAACATCAGCTGGTCAGCAGAATATCAAGCTTATTGCTAACCTTGTCAGAAGTAAAAGGTTTGATGTAAAATATGGGGATACTGATTCATTATACCTTGTTTGTCCAGAAGAATATTTCTGAGAGTGTGATAAGAAATACATTTCAGAAAAGATATCGAAGGAAAAGTACTGAGAGGAGATGGTGAAAATATCTATGGAGGCAATGAGCAGATTCTGAGACAAAGTTAATGACTTTCTTAGGAAAGATAACAGTTCCCCTTATCTCAAAATGGCATATGAGGAAGTCTTATTCCTGGTAGTATTTACTGAAAAAAAAAAATACTATGGCATTCCATATACAAGTAAGCCTAACTTTAATAATAAGCTTTTTATTCGAGAGGTTGAGACTGTAAAGCAAGTGCAATCTAGACACTTTCGTGAGGTGGATAAGAAGGTCATGAAAGAATCTATGAGACTGAATAATGATAATGCTCGCATTTTGCATCAGATTGTAGAGGATGTGCTCAAAGAGACCATAAATGATATTTCACAGATAGATCTTAATGGAGTAGTTAAAACTGCTGTGTGGAAGCCCGATAAAAATAACAAGAGTGTCTAGCGTTTCATTTTACGAATGCAGAGTAGACACACCCGTGAAGAAGCGGATGCCAAATGGTATATAAAAAAGGGCCTAACACCCGAGCCTTATCTTTATGAAATCTCAGAACCAGGCAAACAATTTGAATATATTGTAGTTAAAAATGAATCATCACAGAAGATAGGGAATAAAATGGAGTATCCAGAGGTAGTGAGGCGATTAGGTAAAAAGATCGATATCAGCTATTATCTGAAAACTGTTGTCGGCCTCTATACACAGTTTATTAACTATGATGAAAGGCACCAGCCATCATCTGAAATTATGCAGGGGTTTTAAAAAAGTTAAAAGATGCTAATAAAGTGGGTGAAAATAAAGTGGATAATGGTAAGATGAATGAAGACGACCTGGATAAAGATGAAGAGAATAAAGATAAAATATTTGAAGATGAGATATCAAAAATAAGAGATACCTTAGTGCAGAAATCAGCTGAGAGGTGGATTAGGAGGTATATCAAAAACCTACGTTATGGTTCGAAAAAAGATAAAACCATTATATCTCATTTATGGGAAGATGCACATATTTACGCGAAAAAATTATTTGATACTACTTATGCCAACAAGGGAGAACACTTGACTAACAATGCTTATTGCTAATCCTACATGAATGCGTTAGATAAGCAAGAAGAATCCATCTGCCTAAAACTTTCATCATTACTTAAAGAAATTTCTGAGGTTGATATAGGGTATAGAGAAAGTATGTATAAATTAGTTACTAAGAAGCGAGCAATGTCCTTAGAACAATATTTAATATATTATTTGGATGAGTGGATCCCAAAGGGACCGTGTAAGCTACTAGAAGATTTTCAAAACACATAGTACAAAGTAGTTGGCCTAGAAATTACATGTTATTGAACATTATCAAAGTTACAGGATAATAAAAAAGATGATTCGTTTGAAGCAGATATAGATGAGATTATCGAATTATATGATTAAGTACTTCACTAATGGCCCAATATTAGCAATATTAATAATATTTTTTTGTACATAAATAATATCAAAGCTTAAATAGATAGTTCCTAATACCTGGCCTATGCACTCCGTAACCGATCACTCTTTTTACCTATATTCCATATGCATCTCAATATAATAATAACCGCAATAATTAAAAGAGTAAGAAATATATATGCTGATAGCAGTGACATCAAAGAGTGAGTATGTGTCTTTGACACTGGGCTCTGCCTATAATTTTCTGGTGGTATAAGGTAAGGAGTCATATTTGGTATTTCTTGAAGTATATTATTAGTTTTGCTAATATCGATTTTATCACTTTTTTTAGAGTTGATCTTGATATTATTTTTTGATAGTTTAATAATCTTATCATGCCTCTTTGAAGTGCCTAAAGGTCTGGTATATGTCTCAACATCATCATCGATTTTCTCTATGACTCAAAGAGTCACTCCTAAAGGGCCTAGATCCATATTTTTTCTGCATACTAAATATTTACTAAGATTATTAGGTTCACTAATTGCAGCTATTTTATTAGAATTCGATAGGAAAGTCTGCTCACTGCCTTGTATATTTTTTTTGTCATCTCCACCAATTATAGGTTTTGATATATTTTCCGATTTTAGATGCTCCAACTCACTAACTTTAGAGGTTAGTTTATGTTTCATTTGTTCTAATTCGGCTATTTTAGACTTAAGGGATAATATCTCAGATTCTTTTTTTGATGAGTCATTTTGAATCGAAACCACATCTTTCTGGGCTGAAGACAACTTATCTTCCAATATCTTGATCATAGACTCAAGTGATTTGATTTTCTTGGATTTTATATTATTCTCAGCTTTGGACTTCGCAAGAGAATGATCTTTATTAGCAATTTTGATTTGTAAATTGCTAGCTTTATCAATGAGTTCGAGATCATAAGTATGTAATTTCTGAATCTCAGTATTAGCATCTCCTAGTTTCTGACTCCACTTATTTCTTTCCCGATCCCACTTACTCCTCTCCCTGTTAAAATCTTTTTCTTGCTTTTCATACTTATCCTATAATGTAATATTATAATCATGCGCTTTAGAGGAGCATTGGAGAATTTGTTATATTTTTTTCTTGAGATCTTTTTCATAGATCATATCAAATAACAGATAATATAATAAAAATACAGATAAAATTATATAGTATATATGAGGTATGTGTTATATATACAATGTGTACTATGCATACTATACATATTATGTGTATTACGTGTACTGGTTATCTATATTATGAATATTATACATATTACATATATTACACATATTACATGTACTAATTATTTTTTAAAAATATTAAAAATATTATTGATATTACGTATATTACACATATTACAGTACGATATTACACATATAAAAAATAACATGACTAAACATATGCGATCCGATGCAGTTCCATTATCTTTAGAAGATTATAAGTTTATTATGCAATATTGAGATATACAGCCTAAAACTGACATTTTAAAGATGTTAAGAGAAAGATATCCTATGACAAATAACTGATTTTATAAAATTTGGAGAGGGCAGGAAGTTAATATGGTAGAATAGCATCAGCCTATATCAGAATCAATAACACTCTCAAGTCAGGATTTATCTATATCAGAATTATTTCCTGAATCATGCCCACCAAGTATTAACCATATTATCTCCACCGAAGAAACTAGTATAACTGAGAATTCTAATCAAATTAATATTTCAAACAAGCGGGTTAAAAATAGAAAACCAAGATCTAGGGGCATAGCTTATCCTATGTTTCAAAGAGACGCCCTTACAGGTTTGCAAAGCAATAAAACTGTACGGATTTCTGATTCATCTAATAGTGGAGCTAGTATCAAGGCACATATTATCAATAAGAGTAATATATCCAACACCCTAATAAAAAAAGCAGAAAAAGATGACCTATATACTTTAATTAAGTATAATTGTAAAGAATCAGAAGTAATCGAATGTGGATCAAAAAGAATTTTAGCCATGAAGTGATTGTTTTCAGCAAATCCCAGTTAATTTATCTTTGCTTTTTCTAGATTATTTTGCATTCCATGTAATATATCAATACTGGTAATCTTCTTGGACTTATTTATATGAAGTTGCAATTTCCTATTAAAATTCATTAATTTTATCTTGGATTTGAGTACCCCATATAGTGATTTTTTCAGTTTCTTATAGCTCATGCATTTTTTTTTAAAGGTAGATTGTTGTTCTCATCATTATTACTTTGCAATGGAGCTATGCCACTATTCATTTCCTGTAAAATTTGATCTGATGACAAAGACTTACTATCTTGGATTAGAGTTGTGCAATTTACTTTGAGTTTATTCTTGACTTTATGCATAGTAACTGGAATAATAAAATCTTCTCCATTATAATAGATTTTTATTTTATCATTACCCTAGTCTATGGAACATTTATATTTTTTAAGAAGTGGATTTGAAAATATTAATGTCGGTTTAGGAGCTCGTACAACTATAAAATCTTTACGTATAGTAAAACCTGGAGAAAATGTTATTGGGAAATTACAAGCAATATCAATAGATTCTGTTGGAACTGTTGTAACATCACTAAGATCCTATTTTTTTGACTTATCAATTGGCCAATTTATATGCTTAACAATGTCTTCTGATGTAATTGGAGGTTTAGCGCCACTATCTAGTACCAATGCCAGAATTTTTAAGCATTTGATTTTAACTGGTATAGTTGCAATACTAATTACCAGTTCTTTCTTTTTTACAAAGTCTATTTCCATAAGATTGTCCAATGTTTTATTCTTCCCATCGGAATTAGGTATTTCTGGAGCTGGCTCTTGATAATTTAAGCACAAAGTGTTCTGCTTTGCAGTAAAGTCAGGTTTTGCAGACCCTTTAGGAGTGACTCTTCAAGTCATAGATACATTCATATTATTAATATTGTTTCTAATTGTTTCTATAACATTGCTGAAACTGCCCAATTTTTATAAACATCACTACTTAATTGCCACTTAATAGTTACTTAATAGTCAAATAAT